TTATCTGTTGTGGAGGAGGAACTGCTTTGTTGGTTCCTCAGGTCGCTTTGCCCCACAACAAATAAATTGTATTTCTGGTTCGTGCTCTCAATTATCTCCAGTGCGCGCTAGTTGGGTAATTATACTGCCAGCAAATATTGCTGAATTCCCCGACTTTGGCAGCCAGCAGACAGCGTGAATACCACCAGGCGTTGATTCTTAGGTCAGCTAACGTTGTTCCGTCGTACAGTATTAACCAACCGCGACCCACTCGTTTTATCGTCGATTACCTCAAACTTGGGTAATATAACCTTTATCATGCATAGACAGTACGAGCGACACGAACGAATAAACGTCGAATATAAGCGGATATAAAAATGCATTAAAAAATACAAGAAAAGATGAGCAGCGACTCGTCGCTTCATCGTCCGTAGTTGTTGTCCGTTCGTCGTCGCGTCCACCATGCGTCGAAAATGGTTGGAATGATAGTAAAAGGGGGGGATTTCGGTATGCATCCTCGGAACATCTGAACGTTGTTGATCCTGCATCATCCTCTGTTGAAGACGAAAGTGCATGAGGAGGACAGTGCCGCGCGGAAATTGCAGCACAAAAAAGAAGTAAACATCTACATGTTTGTCAAAAGATAACCAGAAAAACAGAAATTTTATACAGTTATTGCGAAATCGATATTTAGCGATCTCGACAGCATCCATAGTTTATTCTCGTAATCTGCCTAAACTCGGAGAATGTTTTCATGCGCAGCTCAGATCATAATAGATAGTACATTTCTGCTGCATTTTCTCTTCGCCGGTGACAGTTTTTGGCTCTTCAGCCTGACTGATTGTGCACATTGCGCTTGTGCTGCTATTGCTTAACCCGGAGTGATCTCAGACGGTGCCTTGTTCTCATTACTTATATTTTTCATCATTTTGTTATCTTTTTAATTCTGCAAATTTTTTGCAGCGGAAAACTAATTTGTTTTTATTTTACGTCGTTTACATAGCATTCGCCTCCTTTATTGTTAATCGCTTTTTTGGTGCCCCAACTGCGAATTGCCTCAACCTAAATCCCTATCGATTTTTCGTATTCCCACTCATTTCTTCACGGTTATATGTGATCGATCGGGTAATCACAATTATTTCTAATGCTGTGAAATGATTAGATGAAAAAGCAATGTCTGTTTGCAAAATTGAACTTTTTTTAAGGTGGAAGCTGTATGCGAATGTTTTGAAATGTCAAAGGACACTGGCTATAAGGTAGTGATACACATGATGCCCAATTTGCCCAATGTTGGCATTGAAAGAGATTTGGAGCAATTCATTGAGCTCTTCGAGAATCCAGCATTTCGTCCAGATGGCTTAAAACTGTATCCAACTTTGGTTATTCGTGGCACTGGCCTATATGAGCTATGGAAAACAGGACGTTACAAAAGCTACCCGCCAGAGGTTTTGCATTGAATTTAATATTTTATTTAATAATAATTCCTTTCACGAATAATAAAATAATTCGCACGAAAAATACTTGTAAGAAAATACCAATAAATCGCATCACGTAGTACTCTTCGTTTTTCGTATAGCAAGAAAAATACACTAAGAGCCCAGAGCTAGAAACACATAATCTCAAATTTCGGTCTATTAAACGAAATGTCGTGAACGGCGCCCTTTCTCCAAAAATTGTTTTGGACCGGAAGGGAATCGAATCACTCCTCTTCACCTCCGGACGCAATGTGCTACTCCTATGCCAGAGTCCCTTGTGCCCCAAAGTTTAGCCTGGCGGTACACCTTCTATATATCTGCCTTGATTCGTATTTTTTTCGTATTTTTTTTTCGTATTTTTTTTTCTTTGTGGCGACTTCTTGCTCGCTTTTCGCGGGTTTTCTGCGACACGAACATACAACTAATAGGCGAGTAGATTAAAGCAGTCTGATAAAAAACTTGAAATAATGCTGAATGTTTAGAATATCTTGCTAAAAGTAAAGAAAGTAAGAATAAATATGCTGCAAGTTTGGCTTAGAGAAAAAGCTTCTTTTAAAATATATTTTAATCTTGTTAGATCTTGGTGGATCTAACGGCGCGCATCCTGGCACTTATTCCTCCATGGACCCGAGTGTATCGCGTACAAAGAGATATCCCAATGCCGCTTGTATCAAGTGGCGTCCGATATGGCAATCTTCGGGAACACGCT